GGAAAACGGCATGGCCAGCTGCGACGGCTGCAGCTCTGCTACCGTCGTAGGCGCCGTGCATTCGACAGCGACTTGCTTGGCATCACCTGATATCGTTCCCTCAAACGCCGCAGTAAATCGGAGGTGGTCTATTCGGTCCTGAATCCCCTTGGTCTTATCTTCGAGAATCCAAGCCAGCGCCGCAAGCTCCTCGATGCGGAGATTGTCAATCGAAGCACCAGCCACGCATTCGCGGAGGAGTGCGGCGGACTCCAACTCGCGGATCACTCGATCCTGACGACAGAGCTGATCGTGGAGCTTGGAAACGCGCTGGCGAAGAAAGCTATCTTGGTTCATCATTTTCTTGCACCGCTCCATCTCCGGCATTGCACGGAAGCGGGAGAGCATTCGGGTTGCCTCTTGAGGAGAAGGCCATGCTTCGGGTTGGGGTTCGTTTGGGGCGTAAATAATGGAGCACGCGCGCACATCGCACAGGATGGAGAGCTCATTCACCTTCTTTATCAGTCCCTTTCGCCGCTTCTTTAACGTTGCCCGCCGCGTCGCGTCGTTGCTGATCCACGCAAGCTTCACCTTTTTCCTCGCCATGGCCCTTTTCTTATTATTTATTGTAAGTTAGTTTGTGGGTTTCCTTATGCTGCCATGGCTTCTATTTATAAGAGGAAAGCAAGAGGTGCCACAAGTACAGATTCATATACGAATCATGACATGCGTGCGGTGGATATGTGGTTGGATTTTGACATTGTTGCTAATTTATGGAGAATGAATGCAGAGATTTGCATTAATGTAACATATCGCACCAGTGATATTCTGAATTACTGCGAATTCGACTGTAAATTTGCAATGGCTTTCCAGTCTTTTCATCATATTTTCTTTTTCTTTGGATGCATATACATTCTGTAGAATTTATTTATATTTTTGTATTGCACTTTTATATTTATTTTATATTATTTTAAGCTCTAAAAGACATCTAAAGCACTATTGGTACTAGCATAATTTTTTAATTCTTTTTTTTTTTAGTTTACATGTGTGAAAAAATAGGATAAATTAGATCAGCTATAAGTAAGTAAGTTTTTAACTATGATTTTAAAACTGACTTCGTAGACTCAGACCTACGATAGATGTTTAAGTCATCACATATCTGTAAAAAATATGATGGTTTAAACCACGATACAATCTCACAATTTTTTAGATATATGATGGTTTAAATTGTCACATTTTGTAGAGATGTGTGGTCGTTTAAACTGCCACTAGAGTTGAATTTTTCTTTTTAATATTTTTCACTTCAAATTTTTTAGCTATTTTCACTATTTATAACCTTAAGTTGCTCAAATAAACTCTACATATATTAAAATAATGAGAGGAATCATTTAAACATTAAGTTGTCATAAGATACTTAACATCAATAATGACTTAAATTCATGTAGTGCACCAACACTCTGATTAATAAACATGGTAACACTTCATGCAAAATACTTCATTCAATAATTAAAGTTATAAATTATTTTATTTTATATTTATAGGAATTGTAAAACTTGGCCCAAACTTTTTTATAGAAAACAATTAGAAGAAAAAAATAATGGGAAAGTAGGGTTAACAGAAGTTAATAAAGGAGAAGCTCCAAACACTCATTTTTATACCCTTTTCATGTTATTTTCAAACATATAAGCTTTTAAATGAGAAATTAAAACATAAAAATAATGAAAAACAAACTACTTTTAAAACATTCTAAGATATAGGCTTTTTATCGAGCACCTTATAATGCACTTAAAGTTATGATCATACATTGGTTTCCCCATTAGGTTTTAGTCTTTACTTTAGTAGTTACAATTTTTATATATTTTGATTTTTTTAGTTCTAATGATTTGTGTTACATCAACTTATTTTGGCTCAAGGAATTAAAATTTGCTCCTTATATTTATAATTTATAATCCTATATTAATTATAAAGCTAGAGTCTACAAATCACTGTGGACCAATAATGCATCATAACTAAGTGGACTTTCTTCCAATAAACTAATGATGCTCAAAACGGGTGCTTACTTGATAATGATATAATC